TTCGTGAATGTGAAATCAGTTTTCGAAGTCGAAGTGAGGAATGAATGAAGGAAAGAGCGAGAGAGAAGGAATGGCGAGAGATTCCGAGAGTGAAGCGAGAGAAAGATTTTGAAGAAATTTATTGAAAAAATGAGAGAAAATGAGGGAGAAAATTAAAGAAATAGAAGAGAGAAAACGAAAGAAAATGAGAAGAGTGAGAGAGACAAATAGAGAGCGAAAAAAATTATTTTGAGTTTTCGATCACTCTAGGGAGCGGTGAGTGTGAGGGGGTATGTATATAGGTCTTGGGGTTGGGAAATGAGGGCGCGAGTTTCGATTAATTACGGGATTTGCCATTGTTCAGTGTTTACTTGCCTATTGGATTTGAAATTTTGAATTTTTGATTACGTGGAATAACCAAAGCTTGAAAGGAAATTTTTTAGTAAAATATATCTCTCGTACACCCTCGAGAAGTGAACCGTAATAGAACAGGTTCTGAAAACACTTTCAGTGTAGAAGGTAATTAGTGCATATGTTATAGGGGTATTTCCGTATATTAATTTCATACCTTTTTAGGGATATAGTGGGCCTTTCATTGGGTGTTTATTTTGTCAAAGAGAAATTTTGTGAAGAGAATGCAGATGGAAATGAAACGACATCGGATAAGGGGGAATACTACTAATGGATACGGTGTCGTTTTATTGTACAGTTGATTGCTAAATATATTCGCCTTGAAATGGCGGGAGAGGAGTTTAGTACGCTAAAAGCGTGGCGGGAAGTTACGGTTCCTACTATTATATTATTATTATATATTAAATTTTAATCTATAGTTAGATATTCTCAAACTTTATTTAAAATTAGATAATTTTAAATATTTTGGGTGTCTTTGATTTATAATCTTCTAATATTTTTTAGAATAATATTTAAAAAAAACGTAAAATTGAGTGATTATTACAGGATAGAATTTGAAAATTAACAAAAATAGCCCCCTAGGTTTGTTAATTTATTAAACAACCTTGAATAAAATATTAAAAATTAACAAAAACACTCCACTCACCCATTAAATACCAGCAACCAGTCACCACCACCGGAGGGTGGCCGGAGTCACCGTATCGACGCATAACTGGCATTGCGGCTAGATCCACTGAAAATGCTATATTGACACACTACTGACCAGATCCAGTCGATAGTGCACCATTATACCAGATTCTAGCAACTTTCAAAATCTGGCAAATGTGGGTTGGTGGGGTGTTTTTGTCAATTTCTAAAAAAAATATTGAGGGCGTTTAGTTAAATTAACAAACCTAGGGGGTTTAAAAATAATTGAATAAAATCGAATAATATTTTCAAAATGAGGAAACAAATGTGTATTTTGGATAGAATAGGTGGAAAATTGTAAAACAAATGCAGCCAACTTATTAATATCTAAGTTGTAACTACATGTTTTTATGTTTATTTAATTTTCTAAAAAGAAAAAAAAAGCAAGATGGGTTTAAAGATATAAATTTATTTAGTATTTTTTATGAAGACATCTACATTATTTTTAGGGGGCGTTTGGTTGGGGCTTACCTAGGATTACTGGGGTTAAGTTTACTTGATTACCATGTTTGGTTGTCAAATAATATAAGATACCGGTAATCTTCAAATATCAATAGTGGTTACTATTAGTAATAGTAGAGGTAATCTGATTACCTCCATTTTATTAGGTATTATAAGATTACCAGGGTTTTTTTTTTTTTTTTTACAATTCTATCCCTTATTAATAAAATTTTAGAACAATAATACTCTTATTTTTAAATTTATTTACATGAATATAGCTTTTACTATTTCACCACAAATAATTAACTTTTTTGACAAAATTACCATTGAATCCAAAACAAATTGCAGCTCACCCAAGCCACCACCCCCACCCACCTGCCGCGGCAACCACTGCCGCAGCTAGTCATCGTCATCGGAACGATGCACGGAAGGCCAAAAATGACTGTACGGTGCACGAAGGTCATTTCCTGCCTTCCGTGCGCCGTTAGGTTGTTGGTTGCCAGTGGCCGGTAGTAGCTAGGTTGGTGGGGGTGCTTTGTTGATTTTCTAAACTTTTATTATGGGGTTGTTTTTCCAAGTTTTTAAATGCAGGGGGGTTATAATAATCAGTATTAAAAAATAATATAGTAATAATATTTAATTAGAGGACAATTCAGTAATTTAAATAACATACCCACCAATTTATTCCTCCCAACCAAACATATTAATATAACATACCCACCAATTAACCAAATACATTTTCCTAAAGATTCCCAGTAATCTTCAAGGTAATCAAACTTTTTAGCAATCCAACATTCCCAGTAATCCAACATTTCTTGAACCAAACGTCTCCTTAATCATATCGATAACTACTGGAAAAACTAAATGTTAGTCAAGCTTTTTTGTAATTATACTATAAAAAAATATTTTGATTTATTGAAAAATGAGAGTTTGGATTTTTTTTAAAATCGCAAATATTTGCATTTAAGAATTTTTAAAATTTAGTATCATATTCCTTTATACTTCCAAATAATATTATGCATTTCAAGTATATTGTCCTAGGATTTTATGGGATTTTATAATTGTTTATGTCATATGTAATTTTTTTTTATTTCACACATCATTATAATTAATGGTATATATATATATACCATAGTTAATCACTATAGGTCCTTATATGTACATTATTATGTGAGTCTAATGAGTAAATCCAAATTCAAACATAGTCCTAATATAATTATATTAAGACATCCTTACTAGAAAAAATTTTCATGTATATATGTATATTAGCTTATGATATCACTAATGTTATGTCATCGTATTATCGTAAATCACTGCCCCTATTTGTTTAACTTTTAAAAACTCTATTCTATTATCTTATTTAAAGTAAACAGTAAAAAACATGTTTGTTTTAATATTGACGGAATTCAATTCAAAATCCAATCATATTCTATTCAACTCAAAATATTTAACAATTACCTTTCACAATAAAAGTTTATAAGTTAATAAAAGCACCCCAAGCCATTGTCGGCTGCTAGAAACCATCGCTGACACCGGAATGAAGCACGATCGATCGGATCTGGCCAAAACGGCCAGATCAATGCACGATCGACTAGATCCAGCCGATCATACACCATTCCAACAATTTTCAGTCACTGTTCAACAGGGGTGGGTGACTACTAGCAATCGATTGGATGGATGGGGGTGTTTTTGTTCATTTATAAATTTTTATTTTGGGGGTTGGTTCGCTAAATTAACAAATATATGAGGATAAAATAATCTAAATATTTTCAGAAAATGTTTTCAAAAAACGCAACAAACACATTCTCATAATCCTATCCTATTTGATTTAATTCTATCATATTCAGAATAGTTATTAAGAATATCATATTTCAAATAATGTACATACCCCTATTTTATGAGTTTGTGCACCATGAGATGATCTATGCTCTCATGGTCGATTCCCTTCGGATTGCTTACCCAGGGTCGATAGCCCCCTTGGGAGATTCATATAGTTTCACCCTCCTGAATCCTGATCATGTGGAGTTCATGATTGAAACATGAGAAGTGGTGGAGAAGTTGATCTCCTTGTATATAGGATGTAGGAAATTAACTTTAAGTGAAAAACAAGTAGATTATGGGATTTTATCCTCTCTCAATTAAATGAATAAGCTACATCCTTAACAGCTTTAGAACTCTAGAAGTTACCAACATCCGGATTTTTTTTCCAACCACAATAACAGTGTCAGCAAGTAAAGAGAGAAGATCTCATTCTTTGGATTTGGTCCGGTTCTGCAAGTCTGGAAACCAATTGATACATAAAAATCATTTTGTCTTTGACCACTCTATCATTCTTTGCATTCAGATTCAAGCCTGACACGGAACTCAAGGCCAATGCCTGTGCCAGCAGATTTTGTCAAATTAGGAACCAACTCGGTGATCCTTCTCGACCACTGAGAGCGCTGCTAGGTAAGCAGCACTTACCTCGTTCCCAGGCTTCAAAGCAGCAATAGCAGCTTCATGGGCTTTCAGAAGAACCTCATAAGCCTTGCTCTGCAAGGGTGTGGCATCAATCAAGAAAGACCTGGCAATGTTTGAGCAATAACTGTTATACCGGGCCCCAACTGCACATATATTACACTTCCGAATCATAGTACAGTAACTCATCATTGCTGGCAGCACTAGGTCTGAGATCAAACTGCCCTCCACTCTGAAATATGGGAGGATAACAAATGTCGACATTCTCTGCCCTCAGCTTCACCCCAGCTTTGTAGGTTCCAGTATCGCCTTCCTGCCTCATCCATCAGGAAGAATGAGTGACTTTTTTTCCTCATCAATAACATTCTCAACCTTTGGAACCACAATTGTTCATAACATTATAAGTCAAGTAACCAGCTTTCTTCACATTCATGATCTCATCTGGGTCTTGACAGCAAACAGTTCAGAAAACCATTGGTTACATCACCAAGCTGAAATCCTGCATTCTTCAGTTTTTCAGCCCATGTCTCCAAAAGCTTCCCTCAGGACTCTCTTGCTATGTATCCAACACCGGGTATCATTGCCATCTACCTTTGACTGAGCACGTATAGATACACTAATATGCATCCATCAGTTACAACATCATCAGTCTTTGCCTTGACATGGATCATAACATCAACACCCACAGCATCTCTGGCAGACCGCTTCACAACTCCAAGCAGAGAGGCTTTCTTCTGGACACAAGAAATGAATCGCTTCTTCATGAAAACCATATAGTCTCCGGGAACTCATAACCAAGCAGCCATATGTTGAGGGCTGATGATTTCAGGTAGCGCAAATCTTCTGAAGCTGGAGGTGTTGCTATTGCAAGGACATCAGCAGAACCCCAGGAATCAGATTTGTTTCCATTCCAGTGTGAATAAAGGGCCTCAATCGTGTGCTAAAGTTCTCCAAATTATAGAATAAGCATTTCCTCCTCCAGTGCCATTTGGAGCTTGGGCATTTCCATACGATTCAGCCATGTGAGAAACTGTACAGGGTCACAACTGGTCTGCATAACAGAAAATGGCCAGTAAAATACCAGTAGGCAGACCATGAAGTACAGAAATATACAGTTCTCTTCATTGAATTTCATGAGGCCAGGCTTATGATATATATTATTTCATTATTCCAACAAAAAAAAAAAAAATCTTAGAACAAGTTCTTCATTAAATAAAAGAATTAACTTCATACTGAATAGACATTACTTAGCAACAAATAACTTTAATCCATATGATGCAGTCATTTCTGTTATAAACTCTTTAATCCAAAAGTTAAAATGCATGTAAAGCACAAGAGGAATGTTTCACAAACTATTCGAATGTCAGATGAATACAGGGATGGATCCATCTGCAAAGTGCCCTTGATCTAGCAGACACTTATTTTCGCATTCAAATTTTCAGTTCCAGAAAAGTTCTTCAGAAAGGGAAACATAAAGGCTCTGCTTAGCAAATAATTAGAACTATACATTATTCATGTTATACACAAGACATGAAACCTAAAAGTATATTAGATACTCCCAATTTAAGTAAACCAAATTACTAACTCATAATAATCTAAACAAGACCACCCACTGCAACTTTACTTACATGAAACTCAACTTCAAAGTTAGATTGGAGTTTCAGGAACTTGCAAAGAGCTACAAGAAGATAACTCACATCTCTCACTGTTCAACTTGAAGCTTCAACAACCTTCACAACCCAAAACAGAGATTCTGAGCCAAATTGGTATATTCTGTTCTCCTGGGGCTATAGTTATTCTGATAGAGAGAGAAAACGTGAATTAGAGTCTACAACGGAAGCATAAAAACTAAGTGCTATCAAAACCAAGAATAAGAATTTCAAGTTTGACTAAAAAACAATTCTAGACTCTACACCTCCAAGTCTCCTATATTCACATGCGATGAAAAAAATTGAAGTCAGCTTCAAAGAGATGAAAAATCTTATATGATACTTAAAGTGCCTTGCTCGAAACTAAGGTTCAATGACAATAAACGATTCTACAAACTTCCAGTAAATTTCAACAGAAATTAAATTAAAGAGTTGGACAACAACGGCTCACATTTCTTATATAAACTCAAACATCACCAATCCAAATTCAATAAATTTCAATATCATGTACACTGAAACATATGTTCTATACCTATGAACAATAGCTAGAAGATAAACTAAGATAACCGATAGTTAAATAAAAGGTCAGTAAGATAATCATGAACAGAAAACTTCAAATTTTATCACTTTAAACTCAAATCAAAGCTAACTCAGAGTTCAAAACAACCACAATAGACAACTAATCAAAGAATTCAATGAATTAAGAGAAGAAAACTAACGTTTCTCAGTCCACAACACGAAGCTTCCACAAATCCCGAATTAGCTTCAACCACCAATTGTCGTCCAATCTAGATTTTGAACAACCTGTAAACGCTAGGTTTAGTACTTATAACCAAACAAAAGCTCTAAACAAAGAAATTTCACAACAATTCCAATTCCCACTTCGTGAAACTACACTTCCAGAAACTCCAAAACAGTTCAAATAACCACCAAATCAACAACGAACCAAAAAAAAAAAAAAAAAAAAAAAAAAAAAACACTCAAGTTTCGAAGAATTGCTTCGAAATGTGAGTGTTACCTAATTACAGTCTTACCACTGTGCTCAGCGGCTGTGAATCTAAGAACTAGAATTGTGGTTCCCTCCTTATAAACAAACAAATATCAATTAGCGGTCGAAGTTTGAAATTCCACAAAAGTTGAAATTCCAACCCTAATTCGAACAAATTAGGGTTCCGAGACTCCAAACAGTTCAATTAACCACCAAAATCAACAACTTAACCTAGAACAAAAATTACAAAAAGCTCATGATTATTAGGCTTCAACACGATGATTAACTCCGAATCTAGATTTGAACTCCTAATTGGAGTCTTACCCTTCGCACTTGCCTATTGCATCTACAACTTAGGGTTAGGGTTAGAGTTTCGTCGTCATAAACAAAAAAAGAACCATCAAACTCAAACTGAGAAACTTCACAACACTTAAAATTGCTACTTAACTCAAACCAAAATACGATTCAGAACTCACAAACAGTTCAATACCCCCAAAATCAACAAAACTTAACTGGAACAAAAAATTACAAAAAAAAACTCACGTTACTCAGTCTATCACTCGATGATTCGACTCCGAAACGTGAGTTTTCAACTCCTAATCGGAGTCTTATCGCTTACCAACCGCCTACGAGGCCACACGCTAGGGTTAGGGTTTCGCTTTCGTGAATGTGAAATCAGTTTTCGAAGTCGAAGTGAGGAATGAATGAAGGAAAGGCGCGAGAGAAGGAATGGCGAGAGATTCCGAGTGAAGCGAGAGAAAGATTTTGAAGAATTATTGAAAAAATGAGGAAAATGAGGGAGAAAATTAAAGAAATAGAGAGAGAAAACGAAAGAAAATGAGAAGTGAGAGAGACAAATAGAGAGCGAAAAAAATTAATTTGAGTTTTCGATCACTCTAGAGACGGTGACTGTGAGGGGGTATGTAATAGGTCTTGGGGTTGGGAAATGAGGGCGCGAGTTTCGATTAATTACGGGATTTGCATTGTTCAGTGTTTACTGCCTATTGGATTTGAAATTTGAATTTGATTACGTGGAATAACCAAAGCTTGAAAGGAAATTTTTTAGTAAAATATATCTCTCGTACACCTCGAGAAGTGAACCGTAATGGAAACGGTTCTGAAAACACTTTCAGTGTAGAAGGTAATTAGTGCATATGTTATAGGGGTATTTCCGTATATTAATTTCATACCTTTTAGGGATATAGTGGGCCTTTCATTGGGTGTTTATTTTGTCAAAGAGAAATTTTGTGAAGAGAATGCAGATGGAAATGAAACGACATCGGATAAGGGGAATATACTAATGGATACGGTGTCGTTTATTGTCAGTGATTGCTAAATATATTCGCCTTGAAATGGCGGGAGAGGAGTTTAAGCTAAAAGCGTGGCGGGAAGTTACGGTTCACTATTATATATTATTATATATAAATTTTAATATAGTTAGATATTCTCAAACTTTATTTAAAATTAGATATTTTAAATATTTTGGGTGTCTTTGATTTATAATCTTCTAATATTTTTTAGAATAATATTTAAAAAAAACGTAAAATTGAGTGATTATTACAGGATAGAATTTGAAAATTAACAAAAATAGCCCCTAGGTTTGTTAATTATTAAAAAACCTTGATAAAATATTAAAAATTAACAAAAACACTCCACTACCCATTAAATACCAGCAAACCAGTCACCACCACCGGAGGGTGGCCGGAGTCACCGTATCGACGCATAACTGGCTTGCGGCTAGATCCACTTGAAAATGCTATATTGACACATAAGAATTTTGATGTACGAGTATGTTATGAAGATGAAAATACTGCCTGTAAACATAAAAGTTTGGATTTTCTCTTTGAAATATGATCATGTAGTCCATTGTGAATATTTATGATGGCATCAGTTTCTTTTCCGTGTTTTTGTCACTCTTCACTGTTGTTATAAACTTGTTTTACAGTGTGGAGATAACGTTTATTCTTCATATGAACTATTTAATTACAGTTTAAAAATAATCTCATGGTTATCCTTCATTTAATCATTCAACAAATCAACCCTGTTTTTATAGTCTGAAACTGAAGACGATCCCAGGACAGTACGGTAGCAAGCAACTAACCGTTTGAACTAGCAATTGTAGAATAAATTCATTTGATTGTATTATCTCTATTATATTATAAGATGTAGGAAAGGAAACAGATGAATACTTGATCTTAAAACAAACTATATAATATAATAGCTAAACCAAGAGAGTAGAATTCTGATAACAAGATAAACTAATAACTAATTTCCAGTAATGTACAAAAGCAAATATCTTTTGTCTTCCAGGCGAGAGAGATAGACAACGATCAAATGCCCAACTACCAACCACTAAGAATTCCAAAATACCAAGCTATGTTAGAACAAACCCCATTCTAAATCATCAGCTAACGGTAAAGTAAAACTTGACACCACGGATCTTATCCTCATCTTAATTTTGCACGTTTTTGGAAACTCCTACTTGGAGGCGCTCGTGATTTTGCAAAGGCTTTCATCTTTCTTCTCTTCCTCTCTGCTTCACTCTCTGAATCGTCTCCTTTTTCTCTGTCGGCATTGCTGGCTTCCCTCTCTAATTCCTCCCATGTCTTTCCTTTCTCTTCCTCTGAGTCTTCTCCTGAATCTTCTTCCTCTTCATCCTCCGATTCCACCAGTGATGCACTGTCAGAATCCTCCTCCTCTGACACCGATTCCACCTCCATATCTGATGGTTCGTAACCCTTATCTGATTCTTCTGAGTTATCGGACTCTGAATCACTGGCTTCCAGATTTAAGAATTCCCAACCCCCATCATCTATAAAGCTCTGAGGGTCATCGGTGATTGTCTTCAAAATCTGCCGCCAGTTGAGATTCAACCTACTCTCATAATACTTGATGTCCGTCGTGTCAAGCCATTCCTTGATGCTATCAAGCGATGTTGAAGGGACGGAATCGATCCTCAGAACATCACGCTTGAAGTCTTTAAAGACAATGGTCATGTCAAAATTTTTCTGTCCAAGACCAACTCTCTCAAGGTTCACAATCTCGATCTCACTTAGACTGACCACTAGGAAAGGAGTCTCTATTAGCTCAACCAGGCAGCTCGAAGTTGGAACAATGAAAGCAGAGGATTTGTACGGCACTCCATGGAAGCCAAGATCTCTCAGAGGCTGATCAAATTCAAGGTCAAGCCCACTGAATTGAGGCTGCCCCCACAGATCGTTTACTCGATTCACAAAGCTCTGAAAATCCATATTAATCTTGTTCTTCCTAGCCCTATCTCGTTGTTCTTCTTCAATCTCATCTGGATCATAGGCAGATCTCTTCCCACCTCCGATTGTTTGAACCGAGTCCATCACCTCAACATAAAACTGCACATCTTTGGTCTTCTTGTTCCCCACCATGATATGGTTGTGCAAATGGAAGTGGAGAAGTGTGATCATCTCCTTTTCAGCAGGCTGGAAAAATGCATGCTTTATGTTGCCAAACATAACGTCTACTCGCTCTTCAGGTCTAGAAGTAGCATATCTGAACCCATTCACATGAGCTTCAAGTGTACCCGTTATCTTTCTTCCACGGCCTCCAAAAACTGGTCGAATCCAAAGGTCATGCAATCTTATGGGCTTGAATCTGTTACCAGCAAGTTGGAGTTTTTCTTGTGTAACCAAAGTGGCCCTCTCAGCTCTCTCAGACTCCCTAGCCATAACTTGACGACGAAGTGTTTTAATCAGCCCCACAACTTCACTAATGTGCCTTGGATCCTTAGATCGAAAGGACACCTCCTTTAGATAGATAGCCCCTTGAAATTTCAATGAGTTAGTGTCATGAGGATTGAATGGGGTCCCAGGAACATTAAATATAATGCGAATATAACAACTCCGATTAGTGTCTTGCTGGCTGGAAACTGTCCTTATGGTAGCTACATGAAATGGAACCATACTTCCATAAATAGGCAAGAGTACCGCCTCATGCTTCTGGTCAATCTGTATCATCAAATCTCTTGGAGGTGGGAGATCATTGACATTCTTATATGCAATCAAATCTGTTGTTGTTCTAGCAGCAGAACGACTATCTCCAGCCCCGCTTCCCCCACCAGCAAGTCTCCTGGCAGTTTCTTCATTCTTTTGACGGGCTAGTTCTGCCTGGTGCTGCCTCCGAAGTTCCTCCTTTGAAATCTCGTGATTATCAGACCTGAGTGTTGTCTTAGATGGGAAGGCCTCCGTGCCATTAGCCTCAGCTTTTACATTTGGCCTTTCTTCTTCCTCCTCATCCTCATTAAATGAATAAGCTACATCCTTAACAGCTTTAGAACTCTTAGAAGTTACCACATCCGGATTTTTTTCACCAACAATAACAGTGTCAGCAAGTAACAGAGAGAAGATCTCATTCTTTGGATTATTGGTCCGGTTCTGCAAGTTCTGGAAACCAATTGATACATTAAAAATCATTTTGTCTTTGACCACTCTATCATTCTTTGCATTCAGATTCAAGCCTGACTCACGGAACTCAAGGCCAATGCCTGTGCCAGCAGATTTTGTCAAATTAGGAACCAACTCCGGTGCATCCTTCTCGACCACTGAGAGCGCTGCTAGGTAAGCAGCACTTACCTCGTTCCCAGGCTTCAAAGCAGCAATAGCAGCTTCATGGGCTTTCAGAAGAACCTCATAAGCCTTGCTCTGCAAGGGTGTGGCATCAATCAAGAAAGACCTGGCAATGTTTGAGCAATAACTGTTATACCGGGCCCCAACTGCACATATAATTACACTTCCAGAATCATAGTACAGTAACTCATCATTGCTGGCAGCACTAGGTCTGAGATCAAACTGCCCTCCACTCTGAAATATGGGAGGATAACAAATGTCGACATTCTCTGCCCTCAGCTTCACCCCAGCTTTTGTAGGTTCCAGTATCGCCTTCTCTGCCTCATCCATCAAGGAAGAATGAGTGACTTTCTTTTCCTCATCAATAACATTCTCAACCTTTGGAACCACAATTTTGTTCATAACATTATAAGTCAAGTAACCAGCTTTCTTCACATTCATGATCTCATCTGGGTCCTTGACAGCAAACAGTTCAGACAACCCATTGGTTACATCACCAAGCTGAAATCCTGCATTCTTCAGTTTTTCAGCCCATGTCTCCAAAAGCTTCCCCTCAGGAGTCTCTCTTGCTATGTATCCAACAACAGGGTTATCATTGCCATCTACCTTTGACTGAGCACGTATAGCACTAAATATAGCATCCATCAGTTCACAACCATCATCAGTCTTTGCCTTGACATGGATCATAACATCAACACCCACAGCATCTCTGGCAGACCGCTTCACAACTCCAAGCAGAGAGGCTTTCTTTTGGCTACACAAGAAATGAATCTGCTTCTTCATGAAAACCATTATAGTCTCCGGGAACTCATAACCAAGCAGCCATATGTTGAGGGCTGATGATTTCAGGTAGCGCAAATCTTCTGAAGCTGGAGGTGTTGCTATTGCAAGGACATCAGCAGAACCCCAGGAATCAGATTTGTTTCCATTCCAGTGTGAATAAAGGGCCTTCAATCGTGTGCTAAAGTTCTCCAAATTAATAGAATAAGCATTTCCTCCTCCAGTGCCATTTGGAGCTTGGGCATTTCCATTACGATTTTCAGCCATGTGATGAAACTGTACAGGGTCACAACTGGTCTGCATAACAGAAAATGGCCAGTAAAATAAACAGTAGGCAGACCATGAAGTACACAAATATACAGTTCTCTTCATTGATATTTCATGAGGCCAGGCCTATGATATATCATTATTTCATTATTCCAACAAAAAAAAAATCTTAGAACAAGTTCTTCATTGAAATAAAAGAATTAACTTCAGACTGAATTAGACATTACGCTTAGCAACAAATAACTTCTTAATCCATATGATGCAGTCATTTCTGTTATAAACTCTTTAATCCAAAAGTTAAAATGCATGTAAAGCACAAGAGGAATGTTTCACAAACTATTCGAATGTCAGATGAATACAGGGATGGATCCATCTGCAAAGTGCCCTTGATCTAGCAGACCACTTATTTTCGACATTCAAGTTTTCAGTTCCAGAAAAGTTCTTCAGAAAGGGAAACATAAAGGCTCTGCTTAGCAAATAATTAGAACTATACATTTCTTCATGTTACACACAAGACATTGAAACCTAAAAGTATATTAGATACTCCCAATTTAAGTAAACCAAATTACTAACTCATAATAATCTAAACAATGACCCACCACTGCAACTTTACTTACATGAAACTCAACTTCAAAGCTAGATTGGAGTTTCAGGAACTTGCAAGTACTTCAAAAAACTACAAAGAGCTACAAGAAGATAACTCACATCTCTCACTGTTCAACTTGAAGCTTCAACAACCTTCACAACCCAAAACAGAGATTCTGAGCCAAATTGAGTTATATTCTATTCTCCTGGGGCTATAGTTATTCTGATAGAGAGAGAAAACGTGAATTAGAGTCTACAACGGAAGCATAAAACTAATGTGCTATCAAAACCAAGAATAAGAATTTCAAGTTTGACTAAAAAACAATTCTAGACTCTACACCTCCAAGTCTCCTATATTCACATGCGATGAAAAAAAATTGAAGTCACAGCTTCAAAAGAGATGAAAAATCTTATATGATACTTAAAGTGCCTTGCTCGAAACTAAGAGTTCAATGACAAATAACGATTCTACAAACTTCCAGTAAATTTCAACAGAAATTAAATCCAAAGAGTTGGACACAGAACGCTCACATTTCTTATATAACTCAAACATCACCAAATCCAAATTCAATAAATTTCAATATCATGTACACTGAAACATATGTTCTATACCTATGAACAATCAGCTAGATAGATAAACTAAGATAACCGATAGTTAATAAAAGGTCAGTAAGATAATCATGAACTAGAAAACTTCAAATTTTATCACTATAAACTCAAATCTAAAGCTAACTCAGAGTTCAAAACAACCACAATAGACAACTAATCAAAGAATTCAATGAATTAAGAGAAGAAAACTAACGTTTCTCAGTCCACAACACGAAGCTTCCACAAATCCCGAATTAGCTTCAACCACCAATTGCCGTCCAATCTAGACTTTGAACAACCTGTAAACGCTAGGTTTAGTACTTATAACCAAACAAAAGCCTCTAAACAAAGAAATTTCACAACAATTCCAATTCCCACTTCGTGAAACTACACTTCCAGAAACTCCAAAACAGTTCAATAAACCCAACAAAAAAAAAAAAAAAAAAAAAAACCACTCAAGTTTCGAAGAATTGCTTCGAAATGTGAGATGTTACCCTAATTACAGTCTTACCACTGTGCTCAGCGGCTGTTGAATCTAAGAACTAGAATTGTGGTTCCCTCCTTATAAACAAAACAAATATCAATTAGCGGTCGAAGTTTGAAATTCCACAAAAGTTGAAATTCCAACTTAATTCGAACCAAATTAGGGTTCCGAGACTCCAAACAGTTCAATTAACCACCAAAATCAACAACTTAACCTAGAACAAAAATTACAAAAAGCTCATGATTATTAGGCTTCAACACGATGATTAACTCCGAATCTAGATTTGAACTCCTAATTGGAGTCTTACCCTTCGCACTTGCCTATTGCGTCTACAACTTAGGGTTAGGGTTAGAGTTTCGTCGTCATAAACAAAAAAAGAACCATTCAAACTCAAACTGAGAAACTTCACAACACTTAAAATTGCTACTTAACTCAAACCAAAATACGATTCAGAACTCACAAACAGTTCAATTAACCCCCAAAATCAACAAAACTTAACTGGAACAAAAAAATTACAAAAAAAAAACTCACGTTACTCAGTCTATCACTCGATGATTCGACTCCGAAACGTGAGTTTTCAACTCCTAATCGGAGTCTTATCGCTTACCAACCGCCTACGAGGCCACACGCTAGGGTTAGGGTTTCGCTTTCGTGAATGTGAAATCAGTTTTCGAAGTCGAAGTGAGGAATGAATGAAGGAAAGAGCGAGAGAGAAGGAATGGCGAGAGATTCCGAGAGTGAAGCGAGAGAAAGATTTTGAAGAAATTTATTGAAAAAATGAGAGAAAATGAGGGAGAAAATTAAAGAAATAGAAGAGAGAAAACGAAAGAAAATGAGAAGAGTGAGAGAGACAAATAGAGAGCGAAAAAAATTATTTTGAGTTTTCGATCACTCTAGGGAGCGGTGAGTGTGAGGGGGTATGTATATAGGTCTTGGGGTTGGGAAATGAGGGCGCGAGTTTCGATTAATTACGGGATTTGCCATTGTTCAGTGTTTACTTGCCTATTGGATTTGAAATTTTGAATTTTTGATTACGTGGAATAACCAAAGCTTGAAAGGAAATTTTTTAGTAAAATATATCTCTCGTACACCCTCGAGAAGTGAACCGTAATAGAACAGGTTCTGAAAACACTTTCAGTGTAGAAGGTAATTAGTGCATATGTTATAGGGGTATTTCCGTATATTAATTTCATGCCTTTTTAGGGATGTAGTGGGCCTTTCATTGGGTGTTTATTTTGTCAAAGAGAAATTTTGTGAAGAGAATGCAGATGGAAATGAAACGACATCGGATAAGGGGGAATACTACTAATGGATACGGTGTCGTTTTATTGTACAGTTGATTGCTAAATATATTCGCCTTGAAATGGCGGGAGAGGAGTTTAGTACGCTCAAAGCGTGGCGGGAAGTTACGGTTCCTACTATTATATTATTATTATTATATATTAAATTTTAATATATAGTTAGATATTCTCAAACTTTATTTAAAATTAGATAATTATAAATATTTTGGGTGTCTTTGATTTATAATCTTCTAATACTTTTTAGAATAATATTTTAAAAAAGTAAAATTGAGTTGTTATTACAAGGTAGGATTTAAAAATTAACAAAAATAGCCCCTTATGTTTGTTAATTTACTAAACAACTCTGTAATAAAATATTAAAAATTAACAAAAACACTCCACTCACCCATTAAATACCAACAACCAGTCACCACCACCGGAGGGTGGCCAGAGTCACCGTATCGACGCAAAACTGGCATTGCGGCTAGATCCACTGAAAAGGCTATATCGACGCACTACCGACCAGATCCAGTTGATAGTGCACCATTATACCAGATTCTAGCAACTTCTAGCGGTGGTGGCCAAAATCTGGCAAAAGGGTAGGTGGGGGTGTTTTTGTCAATTTCTAAAAAAAATATTGAGGGCGTTTAGTTAAATTAACAAACATAGGGGGTTTAAAAATAATTGAATAAAATCGAATAATATTTTCAGAATGAGGAAATAAATGTGTATTTTGGATAGGATAGGGGGGAAATTGTAAAATAAATGCAGCCAACTTATTAATGTCTAAGGTGAACTATATGTTTTTATGTCCATTTAATTTTCTAAAAAGAAAAAAAAAAATAAGATGGGTTTAAAGATATAAATTTATTTAGTATTTTTTATGAGGACATCTGCATTATTTTTAGGGGGCGTTTGGTTGGGGGTTACTTAGGATTACTGGGATTAAGTTTATTTGATTACCATGTTTGGTCGTCAAGTAATATAAGATACCGGTAATCTTCAAATAACAATAGTGGTTACTATTGGTAATATTATACCTCCATTTTCTTAGGTATTATAAGATTGCCAGGGTTATATTTTTTTGTTACAATTCTATCCCTTATTAATAAACTTTTAGGACAATAATACTCTTATTTTTAAATTTATTTACATGAATATAGCTTTTACTATTTCACCATAATTAAATTAACTTTTTGGACAAAATTACCCTTGAATTCAAAACAAATTGCAACTCATCCAAGCCACCACCCCCACCCACCTGCAGCGGCAACCACCGCCGCAGCTAGTCGTCACCGTCGGAACGGTGCACGGAGGTCATTTGCTGCCTTCCGTGCGCCGTTAGGTTGTCGGTTGCTAACAGCCGTTAGTAGCTGGGTTGGTGGGGGTGCTTTGTTGATTTTTTAAACTTTTATTATGGGGTTGTTTTTGCAAGTTTTTAAATGCAGGGGGGTTATAATAATCCAAATAATAATCAGTATTAAAAAATAATATAGTAATAATATTTAATTAGATGACAATTCAGTAATTTAAATAACATACCCACCAATTTATTCCTCCCAACCAAACATATTAATATAACATACCCACCAATTAACCAAATACATTTTCTTAAAGATTCACAGTAATCTTCAAGGTAATCAAACTTTTTAGTAATCCAATATTCTCAGTAATCCAACATTTCCTTAACCAAACGCCCCCTTAATCATATCGATAAATACTGGAAAAATTAAATGTTAGTCAAACTTTTTTGTAATTATATTATAAAAAAATATTTTGATTTATTGATAAATGAGAGTTTGGATTTATTTTTTTAAATCGCAAATATTTGCATTTAAGAATTTTTAAAATTTAGTATCATATTCCTTTATACTTCCAAATAATATTATGCATTTCAAGTATATTGTCCTAGGATTTTATTGGATTTTATAATTGTTTATGTCATATGTAATTTTTTTTTATTTCACACATCATTATAATTAATGGTATATATATATATACCATAGTTAATCACTATAGGTCCTTATATGTACATTATTATGTGAGTCTAATGAGTAAATCCAAATTCAAACATAGTCCTAATATAATGATATTAAGACATCCTTACTAGAAAAATTTTAATGTATATATGTATATTAGCTTATGATATCACTAATGTTATGTCATCGTATTATCGTAAATCATTGCCCCTATTTGTTTAACTTTTAAAAACTCTATTTTATTATCTTATTTAAAGTAAACAATAAAAAACATATTTGTTTTAATATTGACGGAATTCAATTCAAAATCTAATCATATTATATTCAACTCAAAACATTTAACAATTACCTTTCACAATAAAAGTTTATAAGTTAATAAAAACACCCCCACCCACCCAAACTACTATTAGCTGCTAGAAACCATCGCTAACACCGGAATGAAGCACAATCAGTCGGATCTGGCCAAAACGGCCAGATCGATGCACGACCGACTAGATCCAGCCGATCAAATGTCATTCCGACAATTGTCAGTCACTGTTCGACAGGGGTGGGTGACTACTAGCAATCGATTGGGTGGATGGGGGTGTTTTTGTTCATTTATAAACTTTTATTTTGGGGGGTGGTTCGCTAAATTAACAAATATAGGGGGATAAAAATAGTCTAAATATTTTCAGAAAATGTTTTAAAAAAATGCAACAAACACAGTCTCATAATCCTATCCCATTTTATTTAATTGTATCATATTCATAATAGTTATTAAGAATATCATATTTTAAATAATGTATATACCCCTATTTTATGAGTTTGTAAACCGTGACATGATCTATGCTCTCATGGTCAATTCCCTTCGGATTGCTTACCCAGGGTCGATAGCCCCCTTGGGAGATTCATATAGTTTCACCCTCCTGAATCCTAATCATATGGAGTTCATGATTGAAACATGAGAAATGGTGGAGAAGTTAATCTCCTTGTATATAGGATGTAGGAAATTAACTTTAAGTGAAAAACAAGTAGATTATGGGAATTTTTTTTTTTTTTTTTTTTAAGTAATTGGAGTGTTCAAACCAGCTTATACGCACATCAATAATTAACGGACTATTGAATATCTTACAACCCAAAGGGTTAGATAATTATATTGTAATAGATGATCCCAAATTCGAATAAAAAACTCAATGAAAAGAACAAATCTTTTTTTACTACTAACCCTTGAGGTTAGATTATAGGATATTAGGGACTTGTTGCCCCCATGTGCCATGTGTCTTCTTAATTTGAATCATGGTGCTTGTCAGTTTTGGACCTCATTAACGTTGGGAAACTTCTAGGGTTTGTCCATGTGGCCCAAATCTTGACTCCAACCCATTTCAACACTTTATTTGTTTTGGACCCTTGTTCATATATTCTAGGCCCTTTTATTATGCACTCCCTCATGGGTTTCATCTAATTGGGTTAGACTAAAATTTCTGCTCAACATACATCAAATCTATAATAATATCAATTGGTATTATTTTCCTTAGTTAAATATTTGTGGAATTATTAGTTTATCTATTTAGATTTTAAATTACCCTTATTTAAATGATAAGTGAGGGCTAATATAAGAAATGGATTTGAAAATCACTTCTCTTCTTTAAAAGCCTATTGGTCATTATTTTGCAATGTTTAGGTTTATTATTAGTCTTATTTTTTATTTTTTTGCTCGTTTCACAACACGATAAATAAGTAATTTTTATATATAATATATATATGAAAATATATTATGGAATTTTCAAGAAACGTTGACAATCACTTACAAATTTTGATTTTTGTGAAAGTTTATTTTGTTTCCCTCTAGGAGATCACTTAGAATTAAATTCATCCTTTTTTTGTTTAAAATAAATAAATAAATATCCTTTAGTGGTTTCGGATATTTTAGGTTTTTTCCGATATTTAAGGCGGTTGGGCCAATCAGAAAATGGGCTTGGTGTTCTTTCATTGACCCATTATTTAGTAGGTAAGTCCTTATTTTTTATTATTTATTTTTAATTATTTTATAAAGTTCATGTGGCTCACCAACCTTCAGTTTGACTTACGTATAAATTGGTTCATTAAAATAATAATAAACAAACGAAAGTTTACAACTTGTATATGTAGAATAATACGATCCTTCAAAGATTTCAACTATCCGATTTATTTTCTATAAATAATTATTCAAATCAAAAAAAATAGTGTTTTTTTCCCAAGATTTGGGCTATTTGGGTTATAGACTTTTTTTTTTTAATAAAAAAAAAAAAGGTAAGTCCACTTTTAAGACTTTGAAAACCGTCCAAATTGTCAAAATAATACCATATATTAAGAGGTCTCTAACTATTTTTCTATTGGTATAATGCAAAGACGCTTTTAATTTGTGAAACGACTCTTAAACATGTTTAAAATTATAAAGTTTCGTTAATGATTTTCCTCCTCATCTATCAATTTGTTTTCAGTTAAATGTCGAAATCATAATATCTTCCAAGTTAAAATTTGAATAATAAGAATTATTATGTAATTCACTCGCTATGCTACCGTAGACTTATAGCTCTCATATACGGTATTTTTTTTAAACTTTGACTCTCTTGTTGTACTAATTGTTTCAGTTGTAGATGTCAAAGTTTGAATATTTTTCCAAGCTAAAAAATTACACAATATTTTGTAATAGATTATCGGTGAATTATAGCCATCGGATTATGGTCAATGATCAACTCTATGATCATGATCTAAGGATAAGTATGACCCTTTCTAGTACAACAAATACGACATTTTCTTTTCATAAACTTCATTATATTTTTATAATTCAAAGTTTTGAATTGCTATTGTTAATTTTGATTTAATAAAAATAATAATAACACCAACCATGCCAACTGCCACAATTTAACCTTCATACATCATACAGGGCACTCTCGCATGACTAACTGAATTCTTTGTTTGTACCTACCCTACTTTCGTTTAATACCAATTATGCCCCTATTATTTTCCTAAACTGTCCTTTGTATCTTTGACTAGGAAAAAAAAACTTTTTTATTTTTTAATTGGCTATTTTAAATATATTTATAGAAATAAAGTATTTTTATTATATATATTTTTAAAAATAAATAATAGTTATTAAAAACTATTTTCTTAAATATATATATTATTATAGTATTTATTATTGATTTAAAGTAAAAATGCATTGTGACCCTATAAATAGGAGACAAACATTAAGTTTTAAAAAATGTTTGTTTTTTCCATTAAAACTTCCCTAATCAATTTACCAAAATATATATTTTAAAAATTAAAAATTTCTTGCTTTATATATTTTAAATATAAATATAATCTAATGATTAACATTAAATTATAAAAACTAAAAAATTCTATAAAATCCAAAAAAAAAAAAAAAAAAACCCATCTATATTTCTCTCATTCAACTACCAAAATTATTAATCTAAGATTAAATCTCGGGGGATCGTAATGGTTAAATTACGCGTCTTCAATGTATTCAATATGACTGTCTTGAACATATAGAAAAAAAACTCAAAAGATGAATGACAACTCTTCGTCCTCTCATATACATGATGTAGACTACCCACTCGTTTTAAGTGCACAATATCCATAAGATGTACCTATCCCACCCCATCCGTTTTGTCAATTCTAACACTCTAGTACTTAACGCGGGTGGGTTGCTCAAATATCCATAGGAAAAGACAATTTAATATCCATAGCATGTTGGGGTGGAGTAAATGTAATACATCTCAAATCGTCTAGTAATATACTCGTTTTATTGAAGGATTTTTAATCTAAAAATGATTGGGGGTTGGTACCATAAATCCACAATATATAAATAAAAGAAAGAAATTCAATAGGGGCAAAAAAGGAATAAAAAAGAAGAGTAAGTAGAACATTTGGCTCCTAAATGTAACGTCTTCTAGTCGCCACCAACCAGAAACCAAAGCCCCCATCAAGATTAATCGTTCCAATTTCCGTTCGTTAATGATCTGCAAGCATTATAAAGCCTTCCATTTCAGCGAAACAAGGACCAAACTCTTCCCAATCTCCTATAAAACAAAAACAAAACTCCATCCTTTAGTTTCATTACCTGGGTTTTTGATTTGTTTGTTGTAGAGATCTCCATGGCGCGCAAGAAATCAGAAGTACGATTCCAAGAGCTCGTCAACAGCACTTGAAACGCCTCGCGGGTATTGATTTGCAGATCTGCTCTGCTCAGGTTAACGTTTGTTACTTGTTTTTTTATTTGTCTGTGTGGTTATGTTTGTGAGTATGTTGATGTGTAAGTGTTTGGAAGTTGGTGGAAGATTTGAGATTTGATGTTGGTTTTGTGTGGAATTGGTTTGATTTTGTGTCACTAAGCGAGTTTGAAGTTTAAGATGGTTTATTTAGTGGGAAGAATTTTGTATGCATTGTGTGCTTATGGTTATGGATATTTCCTGTTTAGTATTGATAGAAATTTTGAGATTTGATCTTGGTATTGAGTGAAATATTGATTTTGATGATCACTAAGTGGGTTTGAAGTTTTAAGATGATTTACTGCAGGTAGAATTTGTATTGAATTGTTGCTCATGTTTATGATATTTAATTTTGTAGTGTTGACAAAATTTTTGAGATTTGATCTTGGTATTGAGTGAAATTATTGATTTGATCACTAAGTGGTTTTGAGTTTTAAGATGATTTATTAAGTGGGTAGAATTTGTGCTTGTCACGTATGCTCAAGATTTATGGATATTTAACTCACAACCATTGACAAAAATTTTGGGATTTCATCTCGGTATTGAGTAAAATTATTGATTTTGATGATCATTAAGTGGGTTTGAAGTTTTAAGATGATTTATTTAGTGGGAAGAATTTGTATTTGCCAAGTATGCTCCTTTTTTATGGATATTTAACTGTGTACTATTGGTAGAAAGGTTGAGATTTTATCTGGATTAAGGGGGAATTCTTGATTTTGATGATCAGTAAGTGGGTTTGAATTTGGTGATGATGGAGATACTGAGTTTTGAACATGATTTATTTTTAATATAAGAATTTGTACTTGTAAAGTATGCTGATGTATATTGATATTTTACTGTAGTATTGCTAGGAAATTTGAGACTTTATCCGGTTATTGTGTGAAATTCTTCATTTTGATTATCACTAAGTGGGTTTAGGAGATGCCGTGTTTTTAACACTATTTATTTAGTTGTGAGAAGTTGTATTTGCCTGTGTGTGAATGTATTCTCCTGTTTTTGTACATATGACTGTGTACTATTGCTAGAAGTATTGAGATTTCATCCGGGTATCATGTGGAATTCTGGACTTTGATAATCACTAAGTTGGTTTGAAGTTTGTGACGGAGTTATTGTATGTTTAACATGGTTTTAGTTTTGTTTTGATTTATAATTTGTCACTAAGATTACTTGTATGTCTTTAACAATTTCATTCTCAAGTAGTGACAATGAGTGTGAGATCTCTGTGTATTTGTGCCTGTACAACCGGACTTGATTAAAATTTCTTAAGTTCTTATACTAGTTGACAGAATTGGGATTGGATCATGCACTCAGGACTGGACTGGGTTATTGTTTGAGCAAAGCTAGTTCTTTTTTTTTTTTTTAATTGATGTTATTGAATTGTTCTGTACACAATGTAAGTTTTCAGTTGAAAGATTAAATTGAAATGCGATCATGAATACTACCTTCTTGGTTGCCATTGTGGTTTTTCCTGACGTATTGCTATGGTCTGATATAAGTTTTGGTGTCTTTTACTGTAATTGAGTACTGAGATTGTCATCTAGTCCACTCTGTTGTAAACTTTTCTTCTTTTCTGAAAATGAGAAGATTTAAACTGAAAATTTTATTAAATCTAAAATAATTATTTTATTTCTGTCATCTAGGTGACGCAATCTACAGACTTCTCAGAGTTAACAAACAACGAACCATGGCTTTCATCCTCAAGATTGGTTGTCAAACCCGATATGCTTTTTGGGAAGCGCGGGAAGAGTGGTTTGGTAGCTTTGAACTTAGATCTCGCTCAAGTGGCTGAATTTGTGAAAGGACGCCTTGGCACTGAGGTGACTAGTGAATCCAATAAAACAGAAAACTCCTTCACTATTATTTGTATGATTTCATTTCAGTAATTTGTGAATTGGATTTTTATCAGGTTGAGATGGGTGGTTGCAAGGGACCAATAACCACTTTCATTGTTGAACCATTCGTCCCACATGACCAAGAATATTACCTTTCAATAGTTTCTGAAAGGCTTGGCTGCACCATTAGCTTCTCAGAATGTGGTGGTATTGAAATTGAAGAGAACTGGGACAAGGTATGGCCATAATTTCAGTTCCTCCATTTCTTGTTTATGCTGGCCCTCGCCTATTTCACCCTATTGATGTTTGGCATTGGTCGAATAGATAGCCTGAAAGCTTGATCTGTATCTGGATTCTGATTTGAACAGGTTAAGACTATATTCCTTCCAACTGAGAAACATATGACACTGGAGGCATGCGCCCCATTGATAGCTACACTTCCTTTGGAGGTGAGTTGGACTGTTCTTTTCCAAGCTATTTACACTTTCATCATAGTGTGTTTGGAGATACGAGACTGACCTTTGTCCTTGGCGGATGTAACTTGAATATCTTTTATCAAATTGATATTAGCATGTTTAATATCCTTGGATTCTAGAAACCATTGCCCTTCTTTTACATTTCTCATGGTTGAGGACCTTCATTATGTTTAATCTATTATTCACTGCATTCTCTTTGGTTATATTGATTTTTGTTCACCTAGCATTGGCTGATTCTACTTCTATGTTATTTTAGGTTCGAGGAAAAATTGGTGACTTCATAATGGGTGTCTTTGCCGTATTTCAAGGTATGCAACGTTAAGACCTTGAATTGTCCACTCTTACTTGTGGCCACTCTTACTTGTGGAATGTGTGGTGTACTTGTGAGATCACGTTGTGGGAGAGATTAAGAATCTTCATTCAAGTTTAAGCAAGTTGTTTTTATATGCCGATTACTAGTTAGACCTCGTTATGGTGGGGAGTTACCATTGAGGACAAGGTTTTCCTAAATGCTGGAAGAATTCATATGCAAAATTATTTAGGGATCATTAATGTACAATAAGTCAATAACTAATTGAACAGTCAATAGGATCTTTGATGGGTAAAAAAAAAAAAAAAATTGAATATGTTTCTCTACTGATGGCGGGAAGAGAAAGAGGGAGGGTTATTTTTTTTTATCTAAGCTTGTGTTCATTTTCTTTATGTTTAGAACATGTTAATATCACCAATGTTCACTTCTGACTTTTATCCGATTTTCTCTGTAGATCTCGACTTCAGTTTCATAGAGATGAATCCCTTTACATTGGTGAATGGGGAGCCATATCCACTGGATATGAGGGGAGAATTGGATGACACTGCTGCCTTTAAGAACTTTAAGAAGTATATTTATTTCTTAGCTTTTGTATTTCATGACACAGTACTGCCGTCCAATATATTTCATTGAGAATGTCGTCTCATCTAAATAATTTATGCATTCAGGTGGGGTGACATTGAGTTTCCACTGCCTTTTGGAAGAGTCTTAAGCTCTACCGAAGGCTTTATTCATGCTTTGGATGAAAAGGTAATAGCATACATGTTCTAGCTCATATTTATCTGGAATTTTGCAATCGCACTGCAGAAGATTGATGTCTATATCCCATTTTTGTTTCACATCACAGACAAGTGCATCTTTGAAATTCACTGTTTTGAACCCCAAAGGACGTATATGGACAATGGTTGCTGGAGGTGGTGCAAGTGTTATCTATGCTGACACTGTAAGTATGCTTGGATATAATAAAAGTCATTGCTCGTTCATCTTATCTCTCGCTATATTCTGTGCATAACAAGGCACTCTTGATGGTTATGATTGTGTGGATTAATATGTGCTGGTCTAATTTCAAGAACATAACTCCGTTTTGATTTTATTAGGTTGGAGACTTGGGTTATGCATCAGAGCTAGGTAACTATGCAGAGTACAGTGGAGCTCCAAACGAGGAGGAGGTGTTGCAATACGCCAGAGTTGTTGTTGATGTAAGAGATTTATAGCTTTCACTTGTTTTTGGTCCTCCGAGTTCTGTGTGTTTCCAACCAATCTTGACTTCTGTGTCTTTGGTGTTGCAGTGTGCCACTGCAGACCCTGATGGTCAGAAAAGAGCCCTTCTAATTGGAGGTGGCATTGCTAACTTCACAGACGTTGCTGCAACTTTCAATGGAATTATTCGAGCTTTGAGAGAAAAGGTATGATCCGGTCAAAATCATAATAACTGTGTTCCACTTTTAGTTTCCCTTCATCATACTCTTGAACTCATACCATTCTTATTCTTTGCTCCCAATAGGAATCCAAACTAAAAGCTTCAAGAATGCACATTTACGTTCGAAGAGGTGGTCCGAATTACCAGACTGGTTTGGCCAAGATGCGCGCTCTTGGCGAGGAACTTGGAGTACCTCTTGAGGTATGAAATGAGCTTCATCCAATTAAAAATACTGACTAACTACTCTCTGATTTTCTTTGCTTCTTAAATTTAATTTAATTTTTTTTATTATTATTATTTTCAGGTTTATGGCCCTGAGGCCACAATGACAGGCATCTGCAAGCAAGCAATTGATTGCGTAATGTCAGCAGCATAATTTTACAGTTCTTTGTTGAGGTTGAGGGGCAAGAGGAGAAAAACAATTCTGTTTTAGCCTTTTTCTTGAAGGGTGATGTTGCATTTTGTTTTTTGTAAACTTTGAACAATTCTTTTGAACTCTTTATATTTTGAGACAATTTTCTTCAATAAATCATGTCATTGTTGTTACATTTGTGAATTTTGAATGCTCAATTAAACTTTTTGTGGGTACTGATAATGCGATTAAATCAAAAAAGCTTAAGCTGATAGGTGAAGTATAACGGTTGAGATTATGCAATAACGAATATTTTTTAATGCTTCTTTACCCAATTGAAAATGGGTCTTTGAGGTTTTTTTTTTTGGAATAACACCAAGCACAAGATCACAATTTTCAATTGCTTTATTATTAACCCAAGAAAACATAAACATGTTACTTTATTTTGTAAAATAAAAAATTCCTTGCTTATATCGTTAATTAATTAATAATGAAACATCACATCGTGTCACATGCTTCATGAGCATATTATAAAGAAATTTCATGAAGGTTATATTATATTGACTTTTCATGATTGGTTAGCTACACATTCAATTATTATAAGAAGATTCAATTGCTATAAAAAAGACTTATCATGCGGTTCATAGAATATTCATTCATCTTAATATCTCGTTGTACGTACAATTGTTACAAAAAATATTACTTGATTGTACAGAAAATTATTATAAGAAAAATCAGTCACCTTATATATATATATATATATATAAAAGTAGTGACTATATTTGATTACTATATTTGGTTGTCAAATAATATAAGATTCTAGTAATCTTGTATTACCAAAGTTGTTATTGTTGGTAATATTGGAGGTAATCTAATTACCTCCATTTTCTTAGGTATTATAAGATTACGAAGATAATCTTATTTTTGTTACAATTCTATTGCTTATTAATAAAAAAAATGGACAATAATGCCCCTATTTTAAAATAAATTTACATGAATATACCATTTCAATTTTATCCTTGTTTAATTAAAATTTTGGACAATAATGCCCTTATGTTTAAAACAAATTACAGACCACCATTGCCACCCAACCACCACCGTCGATAGCGGGCCAACCACCAAGGACGGCCGTCGAAAAGTTGTTAGAGTCCCTAAAAAAGACCGAGATTCGATAGGAGGCTTCGATATGGCCGTTTCCGGCCATATTGATGGCTAAAAATGGCCATATCAGGTCAGATCTGACTGGAAATGGCCAGATAGTGAGATTTGGCAGTTAACAACCAAATCTATTATGGCCGGAATAGATCTGGCTGTTAAAGGCCAAGTCCATGGCCGTTAACGGCTAGATCTCACCCAGATCTAGCCGATAATGGCCAAGGATCTACTGTTAATTCGGCCATAATATGGCCAAAAACGGCCATATTGAAGCCTCGTGGTCACAATGAGCTACTCACAGCGACTTTCGGAGACTTTCGACAATGGTTTGCGGTGGCGGCAAGGGGTGCCGGGGTGGGGGTAATTTTGTTATAAATTAAAGTTTTATATAAGCAGGGATATTTTAGCTAAATCTGAAATATTGAGGGTTAAAAAAATTATTTAAAAATTAATAATAAAAATAGTATTATATTAATATTTAAAAGGGGACAATTTAGTAATTTAAATAACATAATCACCAATTTATTCCCTCTAACCAAACATATTAATATAATATTCCAACCAACTAACCAAACACATTTTTATAAAGATTCCTAGTAATCTTCAAGGTAATATAAGATTCCAATAATCAGATATTTCAAATAATCTAACATTCCCTGAACCAAACGCTCCCAAAAAGACATGTAAACTACTTGTGTATATATATTATTAAGGATCCATTTGGTTGTTAGTTTAACAATTGGAATAAAATCACAATGCCATACAACCATTATATGAAAAACTTGTTACGGATTTCAAAAATATAACATGCACGTATTTGATAATTAGTTGATTGTACGTACAATTGTTATAAAGAAGACTTGTCACATATTTCATAAACATAACATGAAAGCGTCTCATGATTGGTTGATTCACCTATAACTATAATAAAGATGACTCTTTATATTTATAACATAATTAATTAACATAAAAAACAGTAACTTATTTATACAGAACCATTTGGTTGGTGATTTAATAATTTGGAATAGAATTGCAATCCCATATGAATTTCCAACCCTAAATTGAAAAACAATAAAGATTGACTTACAATCCAATGTCATAAACTCTCTAAAAATTTATCAGTATAAAACTGGAAGCAGTCACATAAGGTTTGTGAGAGAGAATTTGTAAATGTAGTATTGTCCATTGAAAAATTAAAGTTTAGTAAATTAATTTTCGATGAACTTGAAATTTAATAAATCTTGGATTGCAAGTTGAGCTCATAGGAATTGAACACCTAGAAGCAAAATTTTGGTTTACTAAATCTTTGTCTCATTGTTAATTAATTTGTTTGATTGATGTACCATTCAAGTTTGGCTGTGAACAACACCAAGAATTTTTTAGGTACATCACATAACATAGAACATAAGAAAATTGTGTTTAGTATTATATTTGAAAAATCAAAAAGATTTAAAAATGCACAACGTTCAACTTCATAAACTAGTACTAGATTTCAGGGAGGGACTCAGGAATTAATTTTAGAGGGGACAAGTTCAAAATAATATAATATTTAAAACAAGAAAAAAGGAAATGAGTAAAACCAAATCTAAAAACATTAATACAAATACAGGACGGTAAAAGCAGAAAATCTAAACAAATTAATGAATTTTTTTTTTTGAGTGGGGTCACCAGCCCCCACTCCACACGACGTAGGTTCCTGATTTCGTCCACGTATGATTTTAGGTAAAAGACAAAAAGTCTTGTGTGTTTTTTTTCTTAATTATTTTTCAAAAAGCCTTAAATTCATTTCTTAACTTTAAAGTTATAAAATTTAATTTTTAGTTATTAGAGAAGAAAATCAAATAAACTCATATCTACCTTACCATTAATGATCATATTATTTTATCATTTACATTATTGCATCAATATAAACATCAATTTTTTTTTTTAAAATAATAAACTTTGGAAAAAAAAAAAGTATATTATATGGTTATGAATTATATTAAGTTAATAATGATAATGGCTGCGTTTGGATGAATATTTTCATCCATATTTTGAGTCAGATTTTGAGAATAGTGTTTGGTTCAATATTTAGACAATAGGATTTTCAAAATTCTATTCCAACACTTTTCTGACAGCTTGACCGTTTGAATTTTTTTTTTTTTAACAGTTTTCCCCTTTTTCACCCGTTCTCTTTTGACAGTTTGTGACATGTTTGAATTTTTTTTTGTAGTTGTTAATGAAGTATACGTTTAAGAATGATTGTAAGGGTTGATAATTAGTACTTTTGTCATATATGTATTAATATGATGTTTTTAAACAGTTGGATTAGTACTTGAAATTAGTATAAGTTTTTGTTTCTTAATATCTACGGGTGACAAAATTACCAATAAAATATTTAGTATTATTAAAATGTAACTTGATAAGTTATATATATAATAATACATTATTTTAACAAAATTCAACAAAATATTATATTAATAAATCATTTATAAAAAATATATATTAATCAAATATTCAACACAAATATCAAGGTCAAAATACTCAACCAAACACATATTCTACAAATCCTATTCTCGTAATCATAACCCTATCCAACTATCCAATCTTATCCCCAAAATCCTATCTAAAATACTGAATCAAACGCACCCATAATGTCAATCACAACATAGGCCACCAATTTGTAAGCAGAATCGATGACCTTTTCACTGGATTGCAAGTTGAGCACATTGAAATTGAAGATCAAGATTGAAGTATTATAAAATGTAAAAATGTCTTTGAAAATGCTATTTTATTTTGTATTTTGTGAAGTCTGTGATTAACGTTGGTTTGAACGTTAAAACCTTTATAATAGCTAAATTTATAAAAAAACACTCATTGAACCAAGGATACCTATCTTTATTTAGGATGATTGAGTCTAGAAGAAAAAAAAAAAAATTTCAATTTTGTTTACTAAGAATCTAAATTTTCATTTTTTTCTCATTCAAACTTAGATTAAGCGAATCAATTTCAGACTTAACCCAATTGCATATATTAATTAACTCACAAAATTATCATATTATTTTATCATTTACCTTACCTTATCAATATCAACATCAAACCCTTTATAATAAAACATTGGAAAAAGGTATATTATATAGTTATAAATTAATTAAGTTATTAATGATAATAATGCCAATCCCAGTATAGGCTACCAATTTGTACAAGTTACCCATATTCAATTCATCCACTTTCACTTTGACTAGTGAAATTTATTCTTAGTCCATCAATTTATATGCTTTTCATCTTCATTCCCAGTGGACATCTTTGAAAGTCAAATTAATAGAAATTGAAAACTGTCTCTCTGCCCATGAACTCTCACCACATAAACAAATATAGTAAACCAGTTTAACTAGAATGGCTGCCAATCAAGGGATAAATACATCGAGGTCCTTGAGGTTTTTTCGGTCCACTAAATTTTAAAACTGACCCTTTAGTCCATCTAGTAGTCATCGTTTAAGGTCTTATCATAAACTTAACAATGAAATTTCATCTAATATGTAATGATATAAAAAAATATATATGGTTATTCTCTTCATTGTTAGTGGACATCTTTGAAAGTCAAATTAATAAACAACTCTTTATTTGCCCATGAGGGATGAACTGGGGAAAAAACAAAGATTTTGGGATTTTAAAATTTAAATTATTCAACACAAACTTTATTGTGTTATCCATTCAAACTCAGGCCTCATTCGAGGAGAAGTTTATGTATAAGAGGTAAAATTTGATAGTCGATCACAACTAAGTCTTAATCGTCCCAACTATTATGAAATTGATCAAATACCTCGTATTATTTTTTTATTTTATCATTTTTTTGATGACCGGAGTGTTTGAGTCAGTTTATCTGTATCTTAATTAATCCACGAGTCCATTGAACACCCTATAAGTCTAATGTTTTAAGGTAGGTTACAAATGTGATAGATGACCCCAAGGTGGTTCGAACTCAAGAAGTCAATTAAAGGAGCAAACCTTCTTAACCGTTAAGCCAACCCCTTGAGGTTAAATACCTTGTATTAAGGGGTTTTATACTTTTTACGAGAGGATTTTGATTCTTGTAAAAGGTATATGATAGTTTTAGGTGTTACTTTTAAATTTACAGGAAGATATTTAATAGAAATGAACAACTCTCTCTTGGCCCAAGAACCCACAACACAAACAAATATGATGAAGTTTTAAACTAAAATGGCTGCCAAAGAAGGGATAAAAATCTAGATCCATAAGGTTTATTCCTTTTTATTTCATTTGATAAGAAAATAAGTTCGTAATAGACTTTACACTGAAATGTATTAGACAAATCTTAATGATTACAAATGTTGGATATCCAACAGGGATCAAAATGCCACTTTCAGAACTTAATGGACTTAAAAGACCTGAATGATTTTTTGCCAGCCAAAGACAGAAGAGCCATCAGCAGCCCCAAAAAAACCTTTATCAATTACAAGTAGCATCAACTGTTCAACCTTCAAACTTAGACATCTTCAATCTTCTCTACAAAGAAGCCACTCTCCTATAATCGTTCAATTTAGCTTGTGGTACCATTAATCGTGTAGCTTCAAATTTAGACATGTTCAAGCTTTTCTGCTAACTATCTTTTGCATACATTGCAAAAACACACGTTTTAATTACTATAATCTGTCTCTTTGTTTGAACCTATAAATACCCTTTCAGCATCAACTATTCTCTCCATCTCCAACATCCACTTCAAGTACTCAATACTCTTGAATTCTTCTTCTTCTTCTTCTTCCTTTATTTGAAAGCAACACAATGTCGTCGAGCTTGTGCAGCCTGGTTTTGTTTCTCCTCACTGTTTGTGGGATGATATCAGTGTCATCTGCAACACTGAAAGTGGGGTTTTATGGAGCAAAATGTCCTGAAGCTGAGGCCATTGTGAAGAAGGCTGTGAACAAAGCTGTTTCAAGGAATCCTGGCATTGGCGCTGGCCTTATTAGATTGCATTTTCATGATTGTTTTGTTAGGGTAATGCTTCTAATTAATACTTTTGTTGATTATATATATAGTTATCATATGGTTAAAATGCTTTCAGAAATGCACTCAAAACATTTGCTTGTTATCAGAAAAAAAAAACTTGGTGGTTTTTCAGAGGAAGAAAAAGGTCTCATTAAAATGCATTTTCATCATTTTTTCAAGGAGATCTTATAACATTAATGTTATTAATCGTATAACAATATCATAAATAGTTATAAAAAAAACATTAAAATTTCAAAGGAAATGCAATTAATTCTTAACAAAAAAGAAAAGATATGAAACTATGGTCCCGGCGGGGCTCGAACCCGCGACCTTCGGCTCATAAGACCAACGCTCTAACCAACTGAGCTACGGGACCGAATGTTTGTCTATGAATGTAATGTATAAATATATATTAAATATTTAAGATGCTTTTTGCTTTTTTTTGAACCACTCTCTCTTAAGATAATGATAGACAGTTTATTTTTGTATGCATATAATTTACTTATCTAGTTCTAAAGCTTATCTCAAGCATTTAATTGTTCCTTCATGTCACATACATTTCAGGGTTGTGATGCCTCAGTCTTGCTTGATTCAACTCCGGGAAACCCTTCAGAGAAAGAACATATAGCCAACAACCCTAGCTTGCGTGGTTTCGAAGTAATCGACGAAGCAAAATCCGAAATCGAAGCTAAATGCCCTCAAACCGTTTCATGTGCTGACATTCTCGCCTTCGCGGCTTGTGACAGTGCCAAAAAACTCGGAAGTATTACGTACTCAGTCCCTGCTGGGCGTCGGGATGGTCGAATCTCTCTCAAAGACGATCCCTCTCTGCATCTCCCCCCTTCTTTCTTCAATTCTAGACAACTCCAAGACAACTTCGCTAGTAAAGGCCTTAGCCTCGATGAAATGGTCACCCTCTCCGGGGCGCATTCTATCGGTGTGTCACATTGCTCTTCATTTTCGACACGATTATACTCCTTCAATGCAACTCATAAACAAGACCCTTCCTTGGATGCTAATTTTGCCAAGGAATTGAAGAAAAAATGTCCATCTTCAGGAGTTAGTAACAAGGATCCAACGGTGGCACTTGATGTTATTTCTCCCAATAGGCTTGATAATAAATATTATATGGATTTGAAGAATCACCATGGGGTGTTGACTTCTGATCAAACACTCTTGACTGGCCCATTGACGGCTAGGATTGTGAGGGAAAATGCTAGACATGGGTCGGCTTGGGCTCACAAATTTGCCTCAGCCATGGTTAAGATGGGTTCAATTGAAGTTCTCACTGGTTCAAAGGGAGAGATTAGGAAGAACTGTAGGGTTGTGAACTAGAGTTTGGGATTTTTTGCTAATTTGTTTGTTAATTATTGCTTTGTTTTAGTTCTTTGATTGTTGATTGGTCAAGTGTAAATTTGGATTTATATGCTTCTGGGTTCGTTCATCTTGTTTAAGAAATTAAATTGGAATAAAAGTTCGAATTTTCTACGTTAATATATCAATATGATCATGAATTCATTATACCTTGTTCATCTTGTTTAAGAAAATAAAGTGGTCTGTTTAACCCAGAAAAGGCAATAAATTTTGTAAGCTAATCCACCCTGCTAAAAGTAGAAAACAATTACAGCATATAAATGGTGGGAATGCCATGGCATCTTGCTTTGCTCAACATTGGTTCTGATTCTTGCTCAAGTTGACTTTATCCAAGTAGGGAGGAGCAGCAACGGCAGCAGCTTCGGGGATAAAGAAATCAGTAATGGAGTAATAGAGGGTGTGGAGGTACTTTCATTCTATTACAACTGAGAAGTACCTCCACACCCTCCATTGCAGTACCCTCTATTACACTTGATATTTGTTTTGATTTGGAAATTTGGAGCCTGTTGGCTGTTGCCGACTTTGTCCTACAACAGTGAGAGGAAAGAGTCTACTGATTCCTGAACAGATGTTACATCTGCAGCTGTTTTCTGGGGTACAAACTCATTTAGTTTGTATCCATTGTAAGAAACTTCCCCCGTGACCTATTGTGAAAAAAATTGACAGACAAAAACAATAGAAGTGATTAGGAACTTCCTATAATCCCTCTCATCCAACCCTGAAACCATTGAGCTAATTGAAAACTTATGCACCAAGATAACATTAATTCTTTGTGTCATGTGATCTTGTTTTCTTGATTCCTGCATTGAATTAACTTAAATCCTTTTATCATCCACCTCTTCCTCTGGGATGTGATGGGATGACTAGTCAAAAGTAATGTATTTGGAAAATGGAATCAAAATCCACTTATTTAGCAAGACTTGAAATGGTTTCTTTTTCAGTTTTCGTAAGTTTGGTTGCAGAGCGACCATTTATTTAGGAGTATTTGAGCATTCGAACTCAAAAGGCTAATCTAAGGTGAAGTAAATATTGGTTTAGTTTGGTTTTTAAGTTTTACAGTAAGCGTTCTTCATCTGAAACTATTGTATGTTAACTTAATAATGTGGGATGTAACATGTAACCTGTAAAGTGTTTATTTTAATTTAATGAAAAGGGGCTTTGTGGATCTATTTGAACATTTGGATCAGGTAGTTTAAATTCAATTCTGAAGATACTTACGAGCACGCCTTTTAGAGAATTCATACTGTGGGAAGGGGCTTTCCATGAACTGCTTCACATTCTGCTTCCAGGCTCAAGTTTTTATATCTCACATCTACCTTAGGCAATTCTATGCCAACCCTGAGCAAAAACAGGCAAAATGATATAATTTTTTTTTGTGGAACTTTTCAATGAAGACATGGTGTTCTGGAGGTTTAAGCTTGGTAACATCAATGACTTTCATTCCGGATTTATGCTCATTGGCATTGTTTTTATCAAACAAAGAAGTTGTGAACCGATCAACAGTAGGCAACCGCTTAATTTCAGCCCATTGCAGGGCGTACTCATCAGGTCCTAGAGACATTTCAGAAGCAGTTCCCAGTCTTCCCACTGGATGAGCCATTAAATATTTTACTTGGAGAGAGATAGAGAGAGCTTCAGATTTTGGAAAAAATAAAAAAAAATCATGTTGCATGTATATATCTGTAACTATTTTAAGCATGTGGTGGTTGTATTAGAGTTAATCCATATATATATATATATATAAAGCTAAATATCCCCATCATTGTTTGACACCTAACACATTTTGAACTTATTTAGGTTGTAGAAATTGTTCTATCTTGACATGTAGGATTTGTGATTACCATGTGGTTGAATTTTATTAATGATGATATGGACAAATATTAATTGCTGCATTGGTATTTCAAATCTAAAGGTAAAAACATACTTGTTTAAGTGACACATATAATATATTTTTATTTTTTTTAGCTCTAAAATTGCTTTATTTTGGAGTTTTAGAATTGCTCTCTCTTGCCATATTGGATGTGTGTGCATTGATATTCCAAATGTTCATATCAACCCAAACTTTTCTTGATTAAGTTTAATGAGATATTAACGCACTGCATTGATATTTTAAAGGTTCATATCATCTTGATTACATTACATAACACATTACCCAAACTTTTCTACACTTCATTAGTATTCCAAAGGATCATATCATCTTGATTACATTACGTAGCACATTTTGGAACTCATTTTGGGGCTATAGAATTGTTCCACCTTGACATATTGGATTGACAAGTAGGATTTATGGTTTAATGACCCTAATCAAATTGCTCCATCTTGATACGTTGGATTTGTATTTATTGCTCCATCTTGATATATTGGGTCTGTATTTATTACCCCATCTACAATTAATAATTAATAAAAATTATTGGATCTATAATAATAATAATAATAATAATAACAATAATAATATAGGTGCATTGTATTGCCATTGCAAATGTTTCTTCGTATTTAATTGCGTTAACAATCAAAATGTCTAAATAAGGATTTATAAAAGGGGTGTCTGTTTAGTTGTGCATTATTGCAATATGTTAGTTGATGTCAACAATACATTTGATCTTTTGTTTATTGTTTATAGATCATGTTAGTTTGTGTCAATAATAGGTATATTCTTCATGATTTTGTCAATCGATGGTTTTTTATTTATTTATATTTATATTGTTATTTATAGTTCAAAAATTCATGAATTGGTATGGAATAAAGACAGGATGTTTGATTGTTGCCAAATGAGTTGTTATTTTGATTTGTTCTTATGAACTGTAAGTATATCTTCTAACTATTTTAATACGAAGCTATAAGTATATCTCCTAACTAATTTAACGGCTATTATTTGATTGAATAATTATTTTTGTTCAGTCAATCTATTTGAATGATTAATCATGTTAGTCATGCCAAACAATAAGTGTATTCCTTAACAATTTTAGTATGAAGATTAATTAAATTTTGTTGATTTCGTTTTCAGATAACAGTTGTTATACGAATGAATAATTGTTCCTTAACAATCTTAACATGAAGATCAATTAAATTTTCTTATGTTTGTTTTCAAGGAAATGTTTATTTACTTTACTAAGATCAAATCGATGATGATCCTATTATCAACTGAACTGTGAATATGTGTCATATCTATATTAGTAAAAACAGTTTATTTGTGTTGAATATGTTTTTTTATAAAAACATTTGTATATTTTAATTTGTTATATGAATGATTAATTTTTTATGTCCCGCTGATGTGCAAGTATATATGTTAAATGAATTAATTTTGGCTGATTCAGTTTTCCAATAAATATGTGCTATTTGAAATATTTCTTATCAGTCATAATATGATAATCCCTTAAATTTGGGTTAAGTAAACCATTCATTTTATCATCACAAGCATTTTGGTTTCCACTAAATAATCAGTAGTAAATTGACCATAACTTACTCAATAAAAATCCAATTGATGAGAGGATTAAATATTTAGAAACTAGACAGACAGAACTTTAATTTGATATATAATACACTTAATTTAAATAACTGTAGCCCCACTACTTAACTATTCCTTTTATCATCACACACATTTTTACTTTCATTGAACAGTCAGTAGTAAATTGACCATAACTTGCTCAATAAAAATTCGATTGATGAGAGATTTGAATCTTTAGAAACTAGACAGATAGGGCTTTTAAATTGATATATTATATGCTTAATTTAGATAAATGTAGCTCCATTGCCAAAACATTCCTTTTATCATTACACACATTTTGGTTTCCCTTATTTCTCGATTTCTACTAAACAGTTAATAGTAAATTAGTTATAACTTGCTTCATAAAAATCCAATTGATGAGCGGTTTGAATCTTTGAAAACTAGACATAAATGACTTTAATTTGATATGTTATATGTTTAATTTTGATAACTGTAGCCCTATTGCCGAACTATTCATTTTATCATCACACGCTTTTGGTTGCCACTGAACAGTCGGTAGTAAATTGACCATAACTTGCTCAGTAAAACTCCAGTTGATAAAAAGAATAGTTTAATAAAGCTATATGGTTCGACATCAAACATCAGTTAATATTTGTTAAATAAATTAAATTAGTTATATTCAGTAAGAACCTTTTTTCAAGACATATGTATATAACATAAAAAGATATCGACAAAAAAAGATAGAGCAATTACAATTAAAACTACGTATTAATATTTGTTTTCCTTTAAGGATAATAATAATAATGGTTTTTCATATTACAAATGGTTTACTAAAGCTACATGGTTCGGCAACAAACATCAGATGATATTTGTGATACAAATAAAATTGGTTATATTCAGCAACAACATATTTTTGATATATGTATGTAACATAAAAAAATATCAACAAAAAGAGATAAATAAATATAATTAAAACTACGTATCGATATTTGTTTTCCTTTGTCATCACTAAAATTGAATTGATTTTATGTCTGTGATGATAAAATTAATGGTTTGGCATCAGGTTTATAATTATCCAAATCTATCGTATAATATATCAAATTAAAGTTCTCTCTTTTTAGTTTTCAAATATTCAAACTACTCATCAATTAGATTTTTATTGAGTAAGTTATGACTAATTTACTACTTACTGTTAAGTAGAAATCGAAAACCAGGAAAAGCTAAAATATGTGTAATAATGAAAAAAATGGTTGGGAAGTGGGCTACATTTATCCAAAGCCAATCAAAAGTAAATCCCCAAAATGCAACTATATGTCTGTAACTATTTTAAGCATGTGGTGGTTGTATTAGAGTTAATTAATATATTAATTAAGAGTTAATGTTGGAAAGTTCCAGATCGGGTTTACAGTAACGAGTTAATATTGTCTTATTGATAAACAACATGTGAAACATGATAGCTAGGAGACCATGATAAGTATTATTCTCTTGTTTAATATTGACAAATGAATGTTGGATTGACAAAAATGGAAAGATCATAGTCTGTTTCCGTGTTTTGAGTAGAGCTGGTAGAGTTAGTAGGAATAATTTTTTTTTTTTAAATTAAGGAGACAATT